GCCCCTCCGGAGCGCGCGCCGCGGGGAGGTCGGGCCGGCCGGGCGCGGAGCGGGGCGCGCGGAGCTCACCCACGCCGTATTTCTCCTCTCTCTTGGTGGGCACCCAGCGCGTCATGGCGCCGCCGCGAGAGCCGCCGCCGCCGCCGCTCGGGCAGGAAACTCCGCGCCTAGGCCGCCATTTTCCATTCCTTTCGAGCCGCGACAGGATGAGGAGGAAAAAGTTTGCGGCGGAGGCGGTGTCATGTGGGACGGGGCGGGCGGAGCGTCGCGGGCCGGATGGGAAAGGCCGGGAGCGCCGGCGAGAGGCGGGCCGGCCCGGGGCCTGTGAGCACTGCCCCTGCGTCTGGCACCGCGCGCCGCAGCCTGGGTCCCCCCGCGCACGGCCCGCGGGACAACCCCCCCCCCGGGGACAGTGCCGCGGGACGGCGGCCGCTCCCTCTGCGCGGAGTCCCCGGACCCCCGGCTGTCCCACGAGGAGAGGGGGGCGCCCTGGGCGGAGGGGGGCGAGGGGGGGGGGCTCCAGGAGACGTAGGAAGCTTGGGGTTTGCACAGCACGGGGCTCAGATGGCGGACTCGGGTTCCGCCTTGGTGTAGGGGGTCCTGGGGCGGAGCAAAGCCGGAGGTTCTCTGGACGGAGCCTGCCCGAGCACGTGGTCCTCTCACTGGGGAGACAGACTTTAACTGAGACAGACTTTAACTGAGCCCTTAGCCCCTGGGGGGGGGGGCGAGGAGGTGCGGGGTAGAGTACCTGCGCGTTGATGGGTTAGCTCTTCGTGCTTGGGCGGGGACGCCCGGGGCGGGTGGGAGGGAAGGGCTGGTGCGGTGCTGGCCGGGGAGTGCTTGCCGGGGAAGGGAGCTCTCGCTGGAGTGCGGAATGAGGGCATCATCCTCCTTGGGCTCGCAGAAACTTCTGCGAGTTCGGTAGGACTGAGAGCGTGTGAAGGAGGGGAAGAGAGGAAGTGGGGAGAGGAGCGAGCTGGGAAAGGAAGGCTCAGGCCAGGCGTGGAGCAGACGGGCAGTGGTTCCCTGGAACGGGGTCTTCGCCCTGTAGGTGAGTTCTCAGACCCTCGGGGTTTCCACACCAGGTACACTGGCGCTTCGGAATTCTCCAAGGAAAAACTTAACACAACACACACGTCTATGTATTCTTACCATAATGTCAGAAAGGAATAAGAGTTTAAAACCAAGAAAAGGAGGAAGGAGAAATCTCAGAATGCTCGGTAAGTGGAGTCAGTTGGGAATAATATTAAGTGGCTGTCCTCTCTCATGCCCCCAGTGACAATGGCAGTAGGGCTGGGAGCCCTCAAGAACTGGAGGAAGGCAGGTAAAAAACGATGGAAGGCTCCATGGGGTAGGAAGGGCACTGGGCGGGGGCAGGGCTGGGAAGGGAGCTCGTAGGGCCATCGTTCCTCCGTGTGGAGAATGCCCTTGCCTGCCCTTGGGGCCACCCTGCGCCAGGGAAGCCTCAGCATCCCACCCAGAATGCAGATTAAGGACGCTTTGGAACGCCCTAGGAGCCTTTCGGTCTGTGTGGGTGTGAGAGAACCTGCTGCCTACAGGAGGGTAAGGTGTGACTTGAGAGTTCATGGGGTATCAGCCACAGGTTCATGGAAAGTTACAGGCCTTATTCTACTAATAAAGAACTTCAGTCCCACAGAGGAAAGGGGCCTGGGCTCCAATCACATGTGGCTTCATGCACGCACTTAAAGCCTTCTGTGGAAATTAGAAACCTCAGGGGCTCAGACCCTGAACCCATGGCCTGGTGACTCTGACCACTTGCAAGAGAAGCAACGGTGAAGGGACTGGACAGGAGCAGGAGGGTGCCCCAAGACAAGTGACATGGTGGCCTGGCTCCTCCAGGTCAGGAAGGGCTTCCCTGAGAAAGCAACATAAACCCAATATTTAAGGACAGGCAGAAACTCGCTAGGTGAGCGGCTGAGGAAACATCATGTGCAAAGGCCCTGGGGTAGAAAGGAACACATCCCTCAAGGAACTGAAAGACCAGAGCATAGGGAAAAATGAGAAAGGGACACCAAATGAGTCTGCAGGCGAAGAGTCTTGCTAGTAATTCTGATTCTGCAAAGAAAACCTGGTAAACAAATTTTGGTGATACTTACCTTCTCTTTTATGCTTAATTTCAATTCTGCTTGTGTGGCTATACATTGGGGAAGATGGGTGTTGTAAGTGAAAGACCAGGGGCTTCAGAGTCACACAGACCCAGGAGGCCTGAGCTAGCCATTTCCCTTCCATTTCTGGTCATTCTTCTGTTCTGAGCCTTAGGGTTCTGATCTTCCCACATATAAGCTAGGCGGAATAGTACCAACCTCATGAGGCTCTCCTGAGGATCACAGGGGAATATGTGACTACGTACATAAGGCACCGTAACTATGGTTGGCTTCCTCCTCTGATGCTGCCTCCGGGTTCTCTGTCTGATAACCTCATGGTTCACATTTTCTAGAACAGTGGCCACTTGTGCTCTGATAAAGGTGACCCACTGAATATATAAATAAATACATAATTGTATATTTTTGTAAGACTGTCATATAAATGAATCTCTAAATCAGAACTGGAGAACTCCAGATGGACCATGGACCATGTGTTTGAGACACGGAGGCCTTGGTCCCATTCTTGCAAAGTGTGCCCGGGCTTGGCTGAGATGTTGTACATGTGGCCACAGTTCTGTTCTTGCAGCTCTGAGGTTTGTCAGCATTCCCGGGCTGATTCCAGCAGTGGTCCCATCTTGTGGTTCTAAATCAAGTCCATGGCCCTGGCTCCTTGCCCTGTGGTTACATGAGCTTGGGACTGACTACATCTCCAGTTCCAGGAGCCCTGCGTGTTGCGGCCAGTTGGCATTTTTAACTCCTGAGTCTGCATGCCTGGGCCACGGATCTCAGCCACACCTGCCAGGCCTCATGCAGGACTTAGGTCTGTGCTGGGCTTGTAGGTGTGATCTGCCCAAGAGCACTGGAGTTCCTAGATGTCCCAGTCCTAAGCATCAGTGGGAGTTCGGACTAGTGACCTCCTCAACATATGGCAGAATCTTGAGATGGAGCCATGAAATGTCACAATCTGTATTACAGTTTTCAATTTTGAAAATTAAAATTGTCTTTACTTTGAGAAAAATTTCCATATTTACAGTACAAACTCAGGAGGTATATTTAGCAAAATCTTGCCCAGTGGAGATGCCAGAAAGCACAGTGATTAGGGGGAAATATTTATTTGCGATGGGCGATACAGATGAGAACAGGACCTGGATGTGGGGATTTGATACAATTCAACAGGGGCTTGACCACAGACTGCTTGTCACTTGAAAGGGGAGGAACGTGGTCTTGCAGTGAGGCATCTAGTTGCTGCCCCTTTGAGCCAGTGGCAGATATCCACATTGTATTAGATGACCAGGCATGTGGTCACAGTGCACAAGGTGACGTAGCACAGAAAAGGTATATTCAGGACTTTACACCTAAACTTCAGTTTACAGAGACGATCAAGAAACAAGTTAAAGGACATGACATGAAATATAGTCAGACAAAGATAGAAGGTGGGACCTTCTATAGAACGCTGGTCTGGTGTCGTCAATAAGAAAATATTATGGGGAAAAAAATGGGTAGATAGGAAAGAACCATTCTAGATTTTGAAAGACTTAAGAAATATGACCGTTGATGGCATACTACTTTTAAAAAAGCACTCTAAAAGATGTTAAAGACAAGAGCGGTTTTAACTATGAACCAGTCTTAGATAATATTTTTAAATTATTATTTATTTTGCTAGATGTGATCATGGTATTGCGGTTATGTTGAAAAATGCCCTTGTATTTTTGAGATATATGCTGAAGTGTTTAGAAGTGAACTGTCATTGTGTTCATCACCTACTTTAAAATACTGCAAAAAGGGACGTCTGGGTGGCTCAGTTGGTTAAGCGTCTGCCTTCAGCTCAGGTCATGATCTCAGGGTCCTGGGATCGGGGCTCCCTCCTCAGCGGGGAGTCTGCTTCTGCCTCTGCCTCTCCTCCTCCCCTCCTCCCCGCTCATGCTCTCTCTCTCTCTCAAATAAGTAAATAAAATCTTTTTTAAAAATAAGACAAAATACTGCAAAAAAAAGATGAAATTGTTCAATCTAGGTGATAGGTCTATGAGTGTTTCACCTCTACTTTTTTTATATGTTTGAAATTTTTTATAAAATAAAGTCAAAATGGGGGAAAGGAAGGGCTTGAGATTTAAAACCCGACTTGAGAAACAGTAGCCTGGACTGGCCTCACTTAGACAGCTCAGCCTCTGCCTTGCCCCCCAGGTGCGCTGCTCAGCATTCTCCATGACGATTATGAAGGCAGACCCTGGGCGTTAAACTTCAACCAGCTCTGCAAAGCAAATATGTGGTTCAGTAGAGGATGCTGCCCTGCTACACCAATGTGCCTTGTGGGCAAATGTCACTACGAATATAAATGCACACCAAGCAGTCCTTCCCACACTGAGTACACAAAGAAATGAGCTCTGGAGCTGGGGGCCAGGACACCTGCAGGAGACGGAGTGTCCTGAAATCAAAGGAGCCCTGGATCTGGGTAGCAAGGCAGCCGAGGCCTTGCCCTTGGAACCTTGATGCTCTCATGGTGCCCCAACCATGAACCTCAAGGTCCTCCAGTGGTGCAGGATAGTTGTCATAGAATCAATCAGACATGGTGGCCAATCAGACCTTGGCAGCTATCTGACTCTGGGGAAGTTAGCTGGCTGCTGGTCTTTAAAATAATAGTCTGATTTCTACGGTGTTGTGAAGATTTAATGAGATAACTGAAGCAGGGCTGAATGCTGGTAGGGGCTCCAGAGGAACGAATGGTTTTGAGGCACCAGATATTAGGCAGTGCCGGACGGTGATCCCTGATAGAAGGAAAATGAGTGGAATGTGTCAGCACAGTTGCCCGGCTGGCTTCCTAGAGGCAGTTTTGGGGCTGCATCACGGGAAAGGGGACTCACCCAAGCCTGGGGTCTCACTCATTGGAGACAGAAAGTGGAGTTCAGAGAAGCCACAGCTGCTAGGACTTGAGGGTCAGAGTACCCAGGAGGATGGGGCTGCCCACACAGAGAGAATCCCAGAGATCTGCAAAAGGGCTGCCTTTGGTCTTTGAATACTATACCTGTGTGGATTAAAACTTCATGAAGTCGGCTGTGAAAATAAGAGTAGAAAGTAACGGG